CCTCTTGCTCTTGAAGTTTCAGGTCTCAGGAAATCTTCCCTATCAATTTTATCAATTCCTGTTACTATTTTGTATGTAGTGATCATATCACCTCTTTTTCTTCTGTCTTCTAGTTTTGGCATATTTAGTGGCTCTAACCTCTCCTCGTAGCTCTTGCCTTTCAGTTCTGAGAGCCACTTAGTAGCATGTCTTTGCACCTTTTCCAGTTTGTTGATGTGCTTCTTAAGATATGGGCACCACACAACCGCTGCATATTCTAGCTTTGGCCTAACAAAAGTCGTAAACAATTTCTTTAGTATTTCGCCATCCATGTATTTAAAAGCAATTCTGAAGTTAGAAAGCATAGCATAGGGTCCTCCCACAACGTTCTTTATGTGGTCTTCAGGTGATAGTTTTCTACATAGTACCACCCTTAGATCTCTTTCTTTATCAGAATTCTTTAAAGATTTCTCACATAATTTATAGGTTGTGTAGGGTCTATGTTCTCCTATTCCACATTCCATAACATGGCATTTATTAACATTAAATTCCCTTTGCCAAGTAGTGCTCCATATACTTATTTTATCCAGGTCTTCTTGAAGGGCATGACAATCATATAAGTTTCTTATTCTTCCTATTATCTTAGCATCATCAGCAAACGTGTTCATATAATTCTGTATTCCATCTGGTAGATCATTTATGTAGATGATGAACATCATCAGTGCGAGATCACCCGCGTGTGCGAGTGTGCATGCGTGTGAGTATGAGTGTGCTGAGTATGTGTGCGCGTGTGTGTGTGTATGTACGTATGTCCTGCTAGTTTTTTTAAGGAGCTGGATTCTAAGCTAATTGAAACAACTAAGAGACCCTAGAGCCACTAGTTTTCTCTTCCAGTGCCTTAGGGTGGCAATATTGAGAGGGAAACGCACACTGCATCCATGGTTCGTGCCCGCCATCTGAGGAGCTGTAAGAATTCAACAACCTGGGACAACTAGCCTTGTACCTTGCATGTAACCAATGTTGTAACCCATTTTGTGTAATGAAGTTTTAAATAAAATAAAATGACAAAATACACAATATATATATAGGGGGTGGTAAGAGAAGACAATATGTGAGTATATGTGGATGCCCCACAAGGCTCCCCAGGGATGCTACATGTTGTCTTCTTTGAGGTCGAGGGTCCCTACAAACACAACCAGAGGTGGTACAGTACTCGATGTATATGTATGTGTATATGTATTTATTAATTAGTATATACAGTACTGTACAGTACGTTTTCCCCCGATCCTCCATAAAAAAGAATACACACACGATAGCACTGGAATAATAAGGTAAAAGAAGCAGTTTTCCCAGTAATGTGTGATGAAGCACTGTGCACAAGGTCAAGAAGTACTGTACTGTATACAAAAGGTAGACACACAGAAAAATATAAATGAAGTTCTATGTGAAAAAACCAGTGTAAAATACCCCGAGCTTCCAGCAACCACATCTGCCACCCCATGTACAGTATTGTGAAGCAACATTCACCACTTAAATCATGCATAACATCTTACCATAAGTTTTCTTTAAAAATATCCTTAACCATGGCCTCTGCTGCAATAAATGATCTCAAAATGAATAGCATAGACATAGAAAATAAATAGCTAATCAAAGAGAGGCACACTCTCTCTCCTTCTACAGACAAGTTGAAATGTCACACAAAATAGTGTGGTGATAAAGCTGATAATAGCTACTCAAACTTTTGTATTAAGTCCATAATGATCTGCTGAGCAAGATACTATCAAATCTTAAAACTGTCACTACCTTTGTCAATATTTTCTTTATATTTTTATTACCGTTAACAGTTTACCACTAATACACATGATTCAGTTATATACCATTGAGTCACTGCATATATGTCGCTCATAGTGTGGACTTTGTATCCTGAGGAAAACTGTACCACCACCTGATTTATGTTGACAAACACTCTTAACTAGTTCAGTCATGTGGTATCCAGCTTAGCTCGGCACATTGTGTTTCAGTTCCGAAGCCCACTATGGTACTGTAACCCTTCTACACTGCCCACAGAATGATTATTGGATGCATAATTAACTATAACAAAACAATTGTATACATATAAAAATTATGATACACAATTGCACAAGCTAAATTTGAAATATTACTGTACTTAACTTTGCATTACTTTATTCTAAATTCATAACTTAAAATTGTTTGAAAATAAATTCAAACCTAAATTTAACATACTGTAATTTAGATGATGAATGGTTCTAAATAAATATTTTCACTTGAATCAAGAATTTAGTTTAATTTTCTTAGAAAAGAAAAGTTGAGAGACAAAGAGAGAGACTCCTTGACGCACACTGTGTCATGTACGTTTATGTCGGATAGCAGCCACCAGTTCAAAAGAACAGGCACATCAAAATGACACAAGTCAAAAGTTTAAATATCTGAATGTCGTATGCAGTGCTTTGTAAATATAATATACAGTAAAGTACTTGTATACATGTAGTGCACCATGTATATATTGTATATATATACAGTACTGTATACAAGTAACATACAGTATTGTATACATGTAATATACAGTACTGTGTATATATATATATATATATATATATATATATATATATATATATATATATATATATATATATATATATATATATATATATATAATATATATTATATATATATATATATATATATATATATATATATATATATATATATATATATATATATATATATATATATATATATATATATATATCGTATATATATATAGATATATATATATCTATATATATATATATATATATATATATATATATATATATATATATTATATATATATATATCTATATATATATATATATATATATATATATATATATATATATATATATATATATTATATATATATATATGATATATATATATATATATATATATATATGTCGTACCTAATAGCCAGAACGCACTTCTCAGCCTACTATTCATTGGCCCGATTTGCCTAATAAGCCAAGTTTTCATGAATTAATGTTTTTTCGTCTACCTACCCCTACCTACCTAACCTAACCTAGCTTTTTTTGGCTACCTAACCTAACCTTACCTATAAATATAGGTTAGGTTAGGTTAGGTAGGGTTGGTTAGGTTCGGTCATATATCTACGTTAATTTTAACTCCAATAAAAAAAAAATTGACCTCGTACATAGAGAAAGGGTTGCTTTATCATTTCATAAGAAAAAAAAAATTAGAGTAAATATATTAATTCAGGAAAACTTGGCTTATTAGGCAAATCGCGGCCTTGCATAGTAGGCTGAGAAGTGAGTTCTGGCTACTAGGTACGACATATATATATATATATATATATATATATATATATATATATATATATATATATATATATATATATATTATATATATATATATATATATATATATATATATATATATATATATATATATATAGTATATATATAGTATATCTCTATAATATATATATATATATATATATATATATATAATCTATATACTATATATATATACATATAATATAATATATATATGTCTATACCATATATAGCTAATATATAATCTAGATACGTCGTACCTAGTACCAGAACGCACTTCTCTCAGCCTACTAGCAAGGCCTGATTTGCCTAATAAACCAAGTTTTCCTGAATTAATATATTTTCTCTAATTTTTTTTTCCTATGAAATGATAAAGCTACCCATTTCATTATGTATGAGGTCTATTTTTTTTTATTGGAGTTAAAATTAACGTAGATATAAGACCGAACTCACCCAACCCTACCTAACCTAACCTATCTTTATATAGGTTAGGTTAGGTTAGGTTACGTAGCCTAAAAGTTAGGTTAGGTTAGGTTAGGTAGGTTAGGTAGTCTAAAAACAATTAATTCATGAAAACTTGCCTTATTAGGCAAATCGGGCCTTGCATAGTAGGCTGAGAAGTGCATTGTGGCTACTAGGTACGACATACATACATACATACATACATACATACATACATACATACATACATACTGTACATACATACATACATACATACATATATATATATATATATGGGCGAACAATACTGTACAGTATACATGTGCAAACTTGGTGTTAGCCTGACACACAAGCACTAAAATGACACACGAAAACGTAAATAAATTTATGACATTTAAAATAAAATACAGTACAATAAAGACGTGTGAAATTATTCATTTGCAGACAAAATTAAAATGTAGCTTACTGCAACCCATCCTCATATTTCATCTACACAATACATACACTGGATAATTAAGATATACATACAGGTATCAAGTTATTAACCATAATATCGTATAATGTACATTATACTGTACAATAATGAGCACGACAAATGATGCAACTCAGTACAAGTATGAACATTTGTTAAATAAGAGTTTACATACACTTTTGAATCTTTTGAAAGAAACACGTGCTATGCCTGATATTATCCACGGGAAAATAAATGCAAATTTAGTGCATAGCTAGACCTAAGAAGGGTAGCGCTTGGTCGTTAACTGCCAAGTATACAAACTGTGTTATGTGCAATTACTGGTACATGTTATGTACCAGTATTGTAATACAAGCCATGGTACTGTATATAGGCCTCCAATTTGATACATTAACTTAATGATACAGATATTTCACAGTACTGTACGTTTGATTTTAATATGAGGATGGGTTGGATACTGACATAGCTCATGCATATGAAAGTCAGCAGACAGCCTTCAGGCTTAGCACACCATAACTGAACGAGATGGTGCAAAACTCTAATCAACTATAAATAAATTAAAATCTAATTTTAAATGAAAAATTCCGTAACGATAAATGCTTCGATTTCTCTCTCTCTCACACACACACACACAAAAAAAGAATTCACAGCCCTAATCAATAACACTACTTTCACTTAAATTTTATCCATATATACTGTATATATATATTCACTACTATGCATGCACGTCTATGTTATATCCCGAGGTTACTAACCTGTTGAGATTGCCTAAAGTAAACCCAGAGATCCTGCCTCTGGAGGTTCCCAGCTGGTCAAGTCGGTCAGTGCCCATGAGTATTTTGGTGCGCTCCATGTAGTCCATGTGAGTCTTGAATAGCTCAGTGTAGCGATCGTGGAGTTTTGTATATTCCTTTTTCATTTCTTCCGACTTATCTTCCATCCGATTCGCTACAGGTTCAAAATAAATAACTGTATGAATCAAATTCTAAAAATATTATTTCTCTTTTGTTAATGTTCTCTTTTCTAATGTTAATTACAGAAAATTTAACTTGCATGGTTTTCTGAAAAAACTTCATTTAGTATGCCATACTAAAAAAAAAAATTAATTCATTTACTGTTATACAGTAGTTTACATCATGAAATAAATGCATTGCACATATCAAAAAGAAAAGGAGGAAAATGATATAGCGAAGGGGAGCCTTACCATGGTCGGTAGCATTTCTGTTTTTGAGCTCAAACATGCGCACAATGGACTCGAGTGTCTCCACGCGGGACTGGCACTGCTTCTTCTCCTCTTCCATGCCATCCTCCAGCTCCAGTAGTTTCTGAAAAAAAGTACACAAGTTCACTACATGAACTATACGAACACTTAAAAAGAGCTATGTGGGAAGCAACAGACTTTGGTTACAAATCATAATAATGACAGTGAAGACTGTCTGCATTAACCATTTGACTGCTACACCATTTTATCAGCCCTATCCCTACGGAGGGTCGCAAGGCAGCCAAAACACTTGCTCTTTCTAGCTATGCCACTAAAAAAATATTATGATAACGTATTATATATTTTATTAATTTAAAAAAAAAGGAAATATTGACCAAGTTCTTTAAAAAGAGGGCATTGTGTTTAAGACATAATTTGTATTATAATTGTATAAATACAACCAATCATAGTACGTGCTCACACCCAGAAATACTGTACCTGTGATTTTTTCTTTCAATAAATTAATAGACCTGTGGGGAGTTTTGTCAAGTTGCCAAATCCGTGAACAAGTTCAAATGATCATACAGGTATTATGTTATTATATGATGTATGTACTGTCTGGTTAGTGCAATACTGTATATTATTACCTGTTGTAACTATAATTACATTTATAGGCTATATACTCTGCTAATCAAATCTTCATAGCTATTAACAATATAGGTATGAGTAATAATTCTCAAGCCATGGTAATGAAATATACAGTACAGTACCTCAAGGTAACCTCAAGGTACAAGGTAACCTCAAGGTACTGTGAACCACCTAACTTTCCTGGGCAGCAAACCTCACTTCATCCTCTCCTTTTCCCCCCCCCCTTCTCTTACCGTCCCTCCCAAACCCCCTGCTCTCACTCACTCCTACATTCTCCCCTCTCTCATTCCTCCACCCACCATATTCCACTCCCCTTCTTTCTCTCCCCTCTTTCCATTCATTCTGTACTCCTATCCCTTCCCTTCTTCCCTCTTTTTTTGTTGTTTACTCTCTAAGAAGATGAGTGGTGATTCCCTAAACTACTTATCGTGGTGTTCAAAAGCGAACTTGATTAACACCTCCCAAAGGATACATGATCAACTGGGGTGTGATTCATATGTCTGGCTGCAAGAAGCTGCTTCTTAAAGCCTAGTTGACCAGCCCACCAACCAGGAGGCCTGGTTAGTTCTGACCGGGTCGAGGGACCCTCAGAACTAACGCAAGGTCAACTGAAAGGAAATCAATCCTCTCACTACCCTAATGAGAAGACTGCTGGGTCACGCTTGGGACTGCTGGGTCATGCATGGGACTGCTGGGTCACGCTTGGGACTGCTGGGTCACGCTTGGGACTGCTGGGTCATGCTTGGGACTGCTGGGGTCACGCTTGGGGACTGCTGGGGTCACGCTTGGGGACTGCCGGATCACCCTTGGGGCTGCTGGGTATGCTCTCTCATCCGCTGGAACACCCTCCAACCTGCTAGTTTAAACCTCCGACCTGCAGAGTCTTCCCCACTGACCTGATGGGTCTCCCCTCCAACCTGCTGTATAGTTGCACTACTCATTTGTTTAGCAGAACAAACATCCTTACATAACATACAGTATATGTTCAACAAAGGGCATGGTCAAATTGGTTCAAGAAAGCTCATTTTGTCAAAACTGTATACTATACAATAGGTTAGAATCTACAGAACAACATTAGATTAGTTTAGGCTAGAGTTGGGATGGGTTGGGTTAGGATTGGGTAAGGGTTGGGTTAGGATTGGGTAAGGGTTGGGTAAGGGTTGGGTAAGGGTTGGGTTAGGACTAGACTAGACTAGACTAGACTAGACTGAACTGGACTGGGGTTGTAGATAAGAGGAATCCCTTCCAATAGGTGGTGCCCTTTCCCATCCCAACCCCCATACACCCACACCTCTCATGTACACAAACCTCATTTCCTTTGCCTCTGTTATGCAAGCAGCGATAGATAAGCACTCTAGGATTGACTAATATATGTTTTGTAAGTGTGCTCAGCGTGAAGGTTCCTTCAACCCTCTCCTCCCACACCCGCTCCCCCACCCCCCCCCCCCAGCTCCTTCCACACACGCGCGCGCCCCCCTTCTTCCCCCCCCCCTTCTCCCACACACACGCGCGCCCCCGCTCCTCCCACACATCCGCCCCCCCCGCTCCTCCTACACAAACTCCTCCCACACACCCGCCCCCCCCCCCCCGCTACTCCCACACACACGCCCCCCGCTCCTCCCACACACACACACGCCCCCCACTCCTCCCACACACACACCACGCCCCCCACTCCTCCCACACACACATACGCCCCACTCCCACACACACACACACACGCCCCCCGCTCCTCCCACACACACACACGCCCCCCACTCCTCCCACCCACACACACACACACACACACACACACACACACACACACACACACACACACACACCCCACTCCTCCCACACACACACACATACGCCCCCACTCTTCCCACACACACACACACACGCCCCCCGCTCCTCCCACACACACACACACACACACACACACACACACACACATACGCCCCACTCCTCCACACACACACACACACACACACATACGCCCCACTCCTCCCACACACACACACATACGCCCCACTCTTCCCACACACACACACACACGCCCCCCGCTCCTCCCACACACACACACACACACACACACACACACACACACACACACACACACACACATCCTAAGTGCACCACCACCACCAATCACCACCACCATCGTCTCCACTGCCACCACCTAACAAGGAGTGCCAACACCCACACACAACCCGCAAATGACCTCCAAAATCATTCCTAACCAACGACATGCATCAAGTATTGCAATAATTCAATTGAGCGGCATTCACCTCACCAGGCAGCAAACACACACACACACACACACACACACACACACACACACACACACACACACACACACACACACACACTGATATGATAGAGCCCAATAGGCTCAGGAATCTGTACACCAGTTGATTGACGGTTGAGAGGCGGGACCAAAGAGCCAGAGCTCAACCCCCGCAAGCACAATTAGGTGAGTACACACACACACACACACACACACACACACACACACACACACACACACACACACACACACGCACACACACACACACGCAGGAGTCGTAAACTATGCAATATGGGCCGCTCAGGCGTACCAATCCGACAAGCCAACACATTCATGCACAAAATTCTTATTCACAGAAATGTGCGCATCAGCGATGATGACGTCATGCGTGACGTCACGCGTGCACAACGTGGAAGGAAACACGTGGGGAAATTTCCCCCCTCCCCCCCCCTCTCTCTCTCTCCCCCCCCCTCTCTCTCTCTCTCTCTCTCTCTCCCCCTCCCTCCCCCCCCCCCCCCCCCCCCCCCCCTCCCTCCCTCTCTCTCTCTCTCTCTCTCTCTCTCTCTCTCTCTCTCTCTCTCTCTCTGCATGCTGCTGCGGTTGCCGCCTGCAACCTCGACCAGTAATAAAATGCATTATCACGCGTGGCACGTGCTGAAGGGAGAGGATGGGAAAGGAATGGGAAGGAGTGAAGAGGGAGGGAATGTTGGGAAGGGGGGAAGGGGAGCTCCCCTCCCCTCGCCAGGGCAAGCAAAGCAAGGCAAGGGGGAGGGAGGGGTGGGGGAGACATCCAGAGAGATCAGTCAAGAGAATCAACGTGTGTGAATTCCATCTCGTGTTGGCCTTGAGATACATGAGACAACTGCATGATGAGTTAACCAAACCCAACATCTCGTCCAAAGTGGTAGTACATATAGCAGGTACTGAGTGTTACGTACACAGGTGGTAGTACACATAGCAGCTACTGATTGTTACGTACACAGGTGGTAGTACATATAACAGCTACTGATTGTTACGTACACAGGTGGTAGTACCAATTTAAAAGTAACTCTCGCTAATGTTTACGACTAAACATTGACTTCAAAATGCTATACTAAAAAAATCTTTGCCAAGTATGCCAAGTTGGCCTACTGCAGGCAGTGCGTATATATGAAATGCATTGTTACCTGCCCCCCCCCTTAATATATGGAGTCCATATATATGAATTCCATACATATGGAGTCCAATCCCCCACATATGCACAGCATGGACGCGGAGGCTCAAACCTTTCTCCCCACCTCCCATACGATTGGTATAGGGTACATAATGGGCTGAAACTTACTCAAATGGTACCCATTGAGGAGAGAGTCAGCCAGCTATGTCCTTCCCCCCCCCCCCCCCCTGCCTGTCGAGAGTTACATAATGGTCACATGGGTGAAACGGAAACGGAACGTGTTCTCACCGGGTGTGAAGTCACACGCAGGTTCGAATCCTCGTCACGGCCCTTGTGGATTTGTTCACAGACACGCACACATTACTCAAGTACCGGAGCAATAACCGGAGATGGTAAGCCAGAGGGAGATGGTGACCAAATATAATCAAGATCAATAATTATTAAAAATATTAATCGATTTAATAATTATCACTCGTCCTTCCACTTGGTCTTAAAGGAAGCCGACCTCGGGTGAAAGAGGGATGTGTGACGATCTCTGTCTGGAACCCGTAGGTCCTGTAGGCCTATGCCTGTAGCCCCCGGGCTACAGGCACTGTGAATTGAATTGAAATTGAAATTGAAATAAGTTTATTGAGGTAAAATACACACAAAGGGATGAGGTAGCTCAAGCTATTCTCACCCCGTTCAGTACAACGTGTTAGTACATACATAGACACACATCACGAACAATAAACCTGTTACCAAACATTCTGAGGCACTGTGAGGTCCCTAGTAATTTATCAAAAGGAACAAAAAAGATAAGCAAAAATATAATTTATTTCGACAAGACTAACAATCAAATTGAATCATTTACTCTGTGTAATTTCTTGGAAACAAACTTCCCCCAAAACATCAGTAAATTTTACGTTCTTAAGAACATGGTATTCAACCAGGTCGTCCCCGCCTAAGGTGTCCCAACGCCAAGAAACCGTCGTACTAAATTGCCCTTATCCTAACATACCAGAGGATCCCAAAACACAGAAAACGGAACAATATGTCACAATTTCGCGAGCCGCTT